GTTCCGGCCGTTGTGCTCTGCTCGTCTGGTCTGCTAGAGCTACAGGACTCGCCGGGTGCGGACACACCCTCGAGGTACCGCCAGTCCCTTAACACGCCCCCTGTCTCTCCACACACGAGCTCGTCAGCCCGCCCGTCTAGCGCCCTACCCACCAGACCCAAGCACTGGCAGCCGGCTCACCACCGCTATTCTCCCAGGTACCCCCCTTTATTGCATTGTGCCCGCCTTGCCAGGCTGTCCATCAATTCCATTTCCATCTCAGCTCTTCAACCTCGTCTTTGAGGACACACCCGTTTGCGCACGCATCATTATCTGGTAGCGCGGGTTTCTTCTTCTTTTCTTCTTCTCTTCTTGTCCCATAGCCCAGTCCGGCCTTCACGGACGCTTCCTTCGAAGTCCTCCCAGTCCCCGACTCTGGTTTTCTTTCTTCACCCTTCATACGCTCCTTGAATCGAACTACGACATATCTGTCATTTCTACCAACACCTCCACCCACCACCTGTAATACCAACGAATCCGTCTCTAATACCCTCGTGCATTGGCCTGCCCTCGATAGCGACGTAAAGCATGGGCAAGTCCAACGGCGCCCGGGGCAGAAGCCCCCAGCCGCCCTCCGAGAAACAGCAGCAACCTGCTGTCGCCGCGCAGCTTCAGCCTGCGCTCGCCGTTCCTGGAGCCCCCAAGGCCCGATCCAAGTCGCGATCCAAGTCGAGGTCCAAGAACAAGAAGAAGGCGGTCAATGCCATCAGCACCTCCTACAAGTCTGACGGTGTCGAGGACAACGATGTCTTCCTCCTGCCCGTGTCTGACTACCTGGTAGCTCTGGGTATCATTGCTCTTGCTACCTTGGTTCGCACATGGAAAATCTACATGCCCACCAGTGTCGTCTTCGACGAGGTCCAGTGAGTTGTCCTCCAGTTTGCGCACCCCCATCTTGAGCTTGAACTGACCCCTTATTCCCAATTGCAGTTTCGGTGGTTTCGCCTCCAAATACATCAAGGGCAAATTCTTTATGGATGTCCACCCCCCTCTCGCTAAGATGCTCATCGCCCTGACCGGCTGGCTTGCTGGATTCGACGGCTCGTTCGACTTCAAGGAGATTGGCAAGGACTACATCGAACCCAATGTCCCTTACGTTGCTATGCGCATGTTCCCTGCCATCTGTGGTATTCTGCTCGCCCCCATCATGTTCTTGACCCTCAAGACCGTTGGTTGCCGCACTGTGACAGCTCTTTTGGGCTCTAGCTTTATTATCTTTGGTATGCTTCTGCCAATGCGTCTCCTCGTTCTGTGTGTTTTTCATTTGCTAACAAAGTCTGTCCAGAGAACGGCCTCCTTACCCAAGCTCGCTTGATCCTCCTCGACTCCCCCCTGGTTTTCGCTACCGCCTATACTGCTCTCGCCTTCAACGCTTTCACCAACCAACATGAACTTGGTCCTAGCAAGGCCTTCTCGGCTAGCTGGTGGTTCTGGCTCATCAACACCGGTCTAGGTCTCGGCATTACCGCCAGCATCAAATGGGTTGGACTTTTCACCATTGCCTGGGTTGGCGTCCTGACCATCCTCCAGCTCTGGATTCTCCTTGGTGATGTCCAGAATGTTTCTATGGTAGGACTGCTGCGAACGATTCTTGGAAGGTGTTCTGATTGCTAATTGAATCTATAGCGTCTGTGGACCAAGCACTTCATGGCTCGCGTCTTCTCCTTGATCATTGTTCCCCTTACCTTCTACATGGCCATGTTTGCCATCCACTTCCTCTGCCTGGTCAACCCTGGCGAGGGTGACGGTTTCATGAGCTCCGAGTTCCAGTCTACGCTCAACAGTAAGGGAATGGCCAGCGTTCCTGCCGATGTTGTTATGGGCAGCAAGGTCAGCATTCGTCACGTTAACACCCAGGGTGGCTACCTTCACTCCCACCCTCTGATGTACCCCACCGGCAGCAAGCAGCAGCAAATTACCTTGTATCCTCACAAGGATGAGAACAATCTGTGGTTCCTCGAGAACCAGACTCAGCCATTGGGTGCGGATGGCCAGCCCATCAACGGTACCAACGCTTGGGATCTCCTCCCTGAGCCCAATCACATCACCGACGGGGCTGTTCTTCGACTGTACCATGTCAATACCCACCGCCGCCTTCACTCCCACGATGTCCGCCCCCCTGTCACCGAGGCTGATTGGCAAAATGAGGTGTCTGCTTATGGTTACGAGGGATTTGAAGGTGACGCCAATGACTTCTTCCGAGTTGAAATTGTGAAGAAGCAGTCGAAGAGCGGTGCCGCCCAGCAACGCCTTCGCACCATCGAAACCAAGTTCCGACTTGTTCATGTCATGACCGGTTGCGTTCTCTTTTCTCATAAGGTAAAGTTGCCTGACTGGGCCTCTGAACAACAAGAGGTAACTTGCGCTCGTGGTGGCTCTGTCCCGAACAGTGTTTGGTATATTGAGAGCAATGAGAGCCCTCATTTGGGCGCCGATGCTGAGAGGGTCAACTACCGTAAGCCTGGTTTCTTCAGTAAGTTTGCCGAGATCCATGCAGTGATGTGGAGGACAAACGCCGGCCTTACGGATTCACACGCCTGGGACTCTCGCCCCGAGTCGTGGCCCATCCTTCGCCGTGGTATCAACTTCTGGGGTCGCAACAACACCCAGGTCTATCTCCTTGGTAACCCCATCATCTGGTGGTCGTCATCCATCTCTATTGTCGTTTGGGTCATCTTCAAGGTCATTGCTGTTATAAGATGGCAGCGCAGCTGCGGCGATTACTCCAATGCCACGTTCAAGCGCTTCGACTACGAAATCGGCACTTCGATTCTGGGCTGGGCACTGCACTACTTCCCGTTCTATCTGATGAAGCGTCAACTTTTCCTTCACCATTACTTCCCTGCTCTTTACTTTGCGATCATTGCTCTTTGCCAGGTCATTGATTTTGCCACCTCCCGAATCCCTGCCTCTCATGGTCACGCTTCCTCTGGTGTTATCTTCAACCGAATCACTGCCGTTGTTTTCTTAGTTCTCTCTGGAGCCGCTTTCTCGCTTCTCTCCCCCTTAGCCTACGGTGGCCCCTGGACCAAGGCCCAGTGCAACCGCGTCAAGCTCTTCCCTACTTGGGATTTCGACTGCAAGAACTTCCATGACTCTGTAAGTACCCCCCTACTGCCGAGCGACGAGCTCAGGAACACTCTAACTAACTATAATCAGCTTGACCAGTACACCTACCTCACTGTTGAGGCAGGAACAAACCCAACGCCCACCCCCTCCGTGGCGGAAGCAGTTGTTCCTGAGAATGAGGCCCAGAAGCCTTTGGGTGACGCCCCCGAGGCCAAAGCACCCGAGGTCAAGGCACCGGAGGCCAAGGCACCTGTCGAGGAGGTCAAGGTTGTCGCTGCCGAGGAGCAGGTCGTCGAGTATCGTGACCAGAACGGCAACCTACTTAATGAGGAGCAGGTCAAGTCTCTTAGGGAACAGTCGGCCGAATTCTCAACCAAGCTTGAGACTGAAACTCAGGTTGCCGAAGATGTTGCGAAGGAGCAGCCACAATCTGTCGAGAGCGAGGCTCCCGTCGTTGCTCCTCCTCATCCCGATGTGGAGGGCCTCAACAGCGAGACCGTAAAGAAAGACGAGAAGGTTGAGATTCCCCAGGACGCTGCGGCCAGCCGCGATGGCGAAAAGGAGGCTGAGCAGAAGCAAGCTAAGCCTGCCAGCGAAGGGCAGGAAGCTACTGCTAGCGAAGAGCAGGGGGCTGCTGCCAGCGAAGGACAGGAAGCTGCCGTCAACCAAGAGCTATAAACCAGAGTTGACTCCTTCGACTCGATGGTTCTATCCCTACACCTACCAATCCTACCATTATTCAATCCTTTGTGAAATCTCCTGTATTATTCTTTCCTATCTCTCATAAACAGCAGCAAAACTCTCTCTAATCTGTGGGGCAATGTCCCCCCTCTTTTACAATGACGGATGATGTATCGGAAAAGGGAAAACTTGGGCTGGCATCTTTCCTATAAAAACAAACCATTTAACTCCAGTTAAGGAGAGAACAGGGGGGATGGGGTGGAAGTAGTGGAAGTGACATGAATAGGTGCCTGGTTCTCTCTGGGTGTGAAAGATTTATGTCCCAAGCACCCAGGCGGTGATCTCTATTTTATTTTTAAAACACTCTTGAAAGAAGAAATGAAATAAAAAAAAATCTCTCGTCAAATCTTGTGGATGTGATGTTAACATTGAATTTAGTTGTCGATCAGACCTCGTATGCCGCCATTCACCCGGTCGGAGATTTGCTATGCACCCCTCAACGGCAGAGGCAATGTCTAGGACAACCACTTTATCCTGCAGCGGTAGACGATGAAGATGTCTCGGCCGATCGCGGTCCTTTGCTCCGAGACGTCTGACTGTCCCGTTCTGTTCTTCAACACGGTCATTTAGAAGAGCTAATAGCCAAATACGTAGTGGGTATGCAAGATGTGATTCTTCATGTCTTTCCCTTGATTATTATCGTCATGTCTATCTATTAATGCCCACCGGCGTTAATTGGTCTAGCACCCTTCCCGCTTTTTGTATTTCGTGTGGTGTTCATGGCCCCCCTTATGCTGTAGTCCCCCATTCGCCGCGGACCTTTGAGAAAAGAAGAAGGAGAAAAGGTCTCGTCCCGAGATAAGATAGGTAGGAAAGTAGGAAACCGAAAACCCCACGCTCTATAGACAGTCTTCATGGTAGTGATAACGAGGAAGAAAAGATAATGGCGAAAATAACTGAGCCTCAATGCGCCGTGACCCGAGAAGAAATACCGTCAACTGAAAAAAGACTCCCACCAGCAACTTGATCAACACCCATAAGAACGCCGTTGCGTATGATACGCACGCCCAAGCAAGACAAAAGAGACACTCGGACTGTAAGAAAAGAGGAATAGGTTGGTGTCCAAAAATACCCAGCCGTGATGATTAAAAGCAAGTAGTAGTGATACATGTAACGAAATTGATGGCGAACCTTTGCTCGCTGAGGCAGACTTATTCCTTGGCTGTTTGCTCAGGGGGAGTCTGCGGGATCTTGGCCTTCTCGGAAACTTCGGTTTCGTCACTGATATGCGTTGCGTCCTTTGGTGGAGGTGGTGGTGGCTCGATGGCGGAATCGACCTCTTCAACTGATTCGACTGATTCGACCTTGGTGGTAGGAATATCGATAGAGTCCACGGGTTCTGGCAGAACGGCGACGGCGTCCTCAAATTTGGGAGAGTCCGGGGATTCCTCGACAGATTCTCTGGCCTTTCCATCCGCTTCATCAACAGCCTTCTCTGTTTTGAGCTGGTCCATACTTGGCCGGGGGCTCTTGTCCCCGTAAATGGTACCGTGCGATGCGCAGGGGATAACACCTCCACCAAGGCGGGCCCAGAACATTTGCTCCCGCAGTCTCACGCTCTCCTCCCACGCAGCCTTCTCTTGGTCATCGTCCTCCGCCTTCCAGTGCCCATCTTTGACCATACGGAGGAAGCTGAGAAAGTCGCACGTGGATCGAACGCGGTTCAGACAGTACTTGCACAAGGGGTATCTCTGAGCTGAACCCTGCTCGCTGGTGCGGAACCGGTGATTTCTTAGGTAGAGAGGATCCTTCCTTGACTCGCCGCATAATGAGCAAGGGCTCAGGTGTGGCTTAGAAATGCTCATGATAAACGAGTTGCCAGCATGTGTAGTAACAGGCTCAACCACCAATGATCCATCGGTCATCGCACTCATGACGGAACGGCGAGCTAACCATGATAACCCAGGAGCGACATCGAGACGAAGCGTAGGCTCAATATCTTCAGTGAGAACACGCTTGAAGAACCTCGTATCACGAATATGTGGGATGGGGGTTGGTGACGCTTGGAGGGAGCTTGAACCACTTGGAGAATGAGGAGCGCTGTTGTTGCCGCTAGACGCGATATTTCCAAGTGACGTTGTTGAACCGTTCGATAAATGGACGCTAGAAGTTGAGCCTCCAAGGCCAAGCGATGGCAGGCTGAGTCCGGCGAGAGACCCCGAGGACGACCTTACACTCCCCCCTGTGTGAATTTTTGAGATCTTGGTGAGGTTGACGAAGTCATCGTACGTATTGATGTCGAATCGGAGAACTGGTTGGATAAGATGAGGGAAGCTCGTTGGTGGTGCTGGTGCTACCGCCTCAGCGACGCCCTGCGTTGGCGTAGGTGAGCTGAAACGCTCATCATCTCGGAACTCGAGTCTGGCAACGCCGGGCGATGACGGGGCTGTGTTATTTGTGTAGTCGTCTTGCTCGGATGTGATGGTTTCCATGACTTGTTTCAGCTCCGAGAGTTGCTCTTGTTGCGACTTTAGCAGACTCTCAGAATCCGCGAGCTGGGCCTTGAGCTGGTCGTTCTTGCGCTGGATAATATCATGCTCAGCCTGTGCCTCCTCCTTGGCACGGATCACCATCTTGTTGGCCTCTTCGAAAAGCGCGGCTGTGAGGTTTTCCAGCTCCTGCTCAATCAGCTTCTTAGCCTTTTCCACCTCTAGTCGTTTGGCCTTTTCCTCGACGACCTGGGCTTGCCACGCCTTCTTCTCAACTTCAACAGCGCTTTTCCGAACCCAAACGTCACCAGAGAGGATTTCACGTTGAGAGGCATTCTGAGCCTCTAATTCCGCTATGCGATCATTGGCTGTCTCGAGCTCGTGGCGCGTGGCACTGAGGGTGTCGTCGAGTATCGTCTGGTGATTAATGGCGTTGATGAGCTTTGTACTTAGAGCAGCTACCTCATCAGTGAGGTCTGGGTGTTGAGAGCTGCCTGTTGATCCATGACGCGCCGGGGTCATCGATCGGCTTCGGGGATCGGGGAGAGTGCTCAGCTCATCGTTATAGAAATCGTTGACGTTCGAAAGCGATGATGCAGAGAACTGATGCTCCAGGTGTGATTTGGGTTTCGGTGAGGTGAGCGACTTGGGAGATGCCGGCGGCGAGGCAGAGCCGGCGGTTATTGCTGATGTGGTCATGGATGAATGTGATCTGAAGTGGCCAAGAGGCCGAGGACTGTGACTCCAGTTGGCGACGTGCACGAAGCTGGGCAGGATGTTAGCGGTGGCCATGACTAGGATGGAAGTCGAGAGGAAGGAAGCAACAAGAAAGGGTGCATGGCGCGAAAAAGGTAAAGAGACAAGAACAACATTCCAGTCGAAGTCAAATACTACATTTGCGGGTAGTAGTTCTCTTTAGACTTTGGCTAGCTCAAGGGGCGTGAAGATACGAGAGGGTAAGACAAGGTATGGGGTTATTGAGTAGCGGTGGAGAGCTAAAGCAATACGGAGCAGGGAGGGGGCGAGTATGTGACGGAAGGACTGAACAACTGTGTAAGACAGTCTCGAACAGAGAGGAGCAAGACGTACGAGTCCATGTTAGAGACGGCTGCCGGCACGGGGAGTGCAACGGTGCGAGCCGGAGAAGAATATGGATGCCCAGACCAGGTAGGTAGATGCGGCTGGACTGGCTATTGATATGATGTAAAATCTAGAACGGCTCGGAGGGAAGGTCTGTAAGGGTCTGCGGGTATCGAGGGCAATTGGCGAATAGTAGCTCGGATCGATCGAGGTGAAAGCGAGGCGAAGCGAAAGGAAGAGACGAGGAAAGACCAAAGCAACGCTGTCGAACCAAAGGCCACCTGCCCAAGCGACGAGGAGCAGGACAGCGGGTAAATCGAAACTGCTGCCTCTCACCGCGGCTTAGTCGGCATGACTTTCGGGGGGCGTGGCGGAGAGATTAAGAGGGCGGATTACGAGGTGGATAGTAGATACTCGTCGTAGATATACGGGAGGGAACCGAAATCGATTCGATTGGTGGCGGGTTCGAGTGGTCCGTGTGCCGCTGGCGGTCGCGGAAGGGATCGCAGGTATAATCTCGCTCGTTCGGTCTGGAGGAGTTGCGACGAGTCTGGAAGCGCCTTTTTCGAGTGCTGGCAAGGAGGAGCGGCAGGTTTGGGGAGGAGGGGAGCGAGAGAGACGAGCCCGTGGGTGTGGGTGAGGGATTGAATGGATGTGATTGAAAGCCCGGTTTGGGGTGACGATGGATGATTCGATGACATGGGGGAATACCGACCTGCGACCTCGCGATTGGGGCTGAGCAGCGCTGATGGCATGTACCAGCGGGTACCCCACTAGCTGGCAGACCTTTCCCTACCGCAATCCAATGGTGCCGGACACAGACAGGCCCAGATACAGTGGGTGCAGCCCGTCGACGGGGCCTTATCCAATGGATCCGTGGCCATTATCGCTATCGCCTGTGGAGAAGCCAGTTATAGCCGATGGGGACGGAACAGCGTCAGCACCTCGACCGATCCATCTTGCGGACAAGCGCTGCAAGGGGCCCTTGCTGCTAGTCATCATGGACAAAGAGAACAATCGATTGATTCCCAGAGCGCTACGCATGCATCACACGCGCATCGTACCTAACTCATTGTCAGGAGTCGGACCCCGCCGCCAGCCACCGACGCGGCATCGACACGCGCAAGCCCCATCCAGCCATTGACAGCTCCGGCTCTTGATTTACCTCATCATTTGGTACCTAGGTGTCCAGCAACGAGGTCGGTCAGGAGGTAATTACCGCTGGACGAGCAGCTTCACGTCTCGTCTCGGGTCATGGCAGTGCGCCGCATCAGCTGTAGGTCGCTGCAAGGGGGCGCCGGATACGAATACTACTGTGCTGTGCAGTCTCGACCCCGGAATCCTCATCCTCCACTTTTTTCCCTTTTGCTGTTCCCATCATCCATCCCCCTTCTTCTTCCCTCGGGCTCGCTCGCAGCACAGACCGCATCAGACAAGATTCAGATTGCCAGTCCAGCCCAGCCCAGTCCGACATGGACCTCTTCCCCTCTCTCCGGTACGACGCTAGAGATGCTCTAGCACCGCAGCGCATCACCTCGCATGGCATCGCATTGAGATCGAGCAGCGGAAACTAGCCTCGGCCGATCGCATTGATCAAATTCTCGACTCGGCTTGGACTCGGGCTTTTAGACTAAACCCTACTCGACCAAGGTTTTCCATTCTTTTCTGCCGAACTACTGCTCTACCTAATCCCAGGTCAGGCACCGGTACCAAGGTTCAGGCACAGGCACAGGCACAGCGCAGATGCAATTGTCAGCAAGCCCATTCTCAGCTCTTCAGGTACCGCGCAGATAAACCACCCGCTAGCACTTGCCCAAGCCAGGTACCACCCAGGCCCTGGCAGCCACTAGCCTCTGCCGCTAGGAGGGTGACAGTGCAGCAGCCTCAGCGCTAAGATGATCGACTGATGCTTACATTCCCCTGCGTCTCTCCATTCTCCTCAATCTCTGGATAATGACCTGCGTAATACCGTGCTGCTGTTATTTGCAGCCGTGTTTCAGCCAAAACACCGCGTCAAGCTATTATAAGCAGCCGCCTGCGACGGGAATCACGCAACATCCCGTATCACCCTCCCATGCATGTGACACACAGCCGTCACCAACTTACAATCGTCCCTCACGCAGTCTCGGATCTGGCTGCTCCTCCGTGACTGGAATGAACCCTCGCCTATCATGATTGGGATACGGCCCGGGTCCCCCATCCCATCCCAAAGCAGGGTAGGATTCTCGGCTCTTCTGCCATCAGGGTTTTCCCACCCTTCCCTGCTCAATCACACGGTACAGATGTGTGACGGCGGCAATCGAACTGCGCCTGTGCCGTATTAACCCCTCTCTCCTCCTGTGACGCAATCCGTGAAGACACTGTCTTGGAAGCCTGCCGAGCCGTGAGAACGAACGCTCATCTGAACCGTCTGGCACCGGGTCAAGGTGGGGTCCCTGTTGGTTTTGACATCACAGACGGGGGCCAGCCTGGCCCTTGTGCACGATTGTGAATTTATTTTTGTGACAGTTTGAGACATGCCCTTCCTTGACTGTTGTGCTGTCAGAACAAAAGCACGGACCGAGGCTTACTCGTCATTTAAGACCCTTCACAACGCACAGTTTGGAACAAGTTCCTAATAATAAACCAGGTGAAATCATCATTCCTGCCCAAGACAGGAGAATAATAATGGTAAGTCATCTAATCGTCCGCTGTGTACAGGAGCTATGCAAACCACGATAAAGGCTATACCTAGATAGTTTTATGTACACTTAATGCTAATATGACCTCACTGCTTGCAAAGTATGTATGTGTACGAAGAATATGTGAAAAACACGCGAGTCGCTATTTTTTTGCCAGCTTCAGGCAGCCATTCAGCCGATTAAGCGTCATGCTGCCGCCAAATAACCAAGGGAACAGAGAGACTCCAAACGGAAAATCGTTTTCCAACAAGGGATAGAGGCATTATTCCGCTCATCATGGACGCAAACCAAAGACATGTAGATAATGTACAAAAGAGAAGATGGGATATAAAAATAAAGAAGCAACGACACTTCTATGCCGCGCTCTTCCCCGCCCACGTACTCCAGGTGTAAGGCGTATAGATATAGTCAGGCTATGGATTAGAAACATGATGTACCCTCAACAAAGGGAATAAAAGGGAAAATAAGAGATGCAAGATAAGAAATAGACGGTATATACCTCTTTTGAGAGATTCAAAATTCGAAAAAGAGAATAGAACAGACAGAAAGGCTTAGGAAATATCCAAAAGTGAAATCCAAAAAAAAAATTATATTCTAAGGAATATGGTTTTTCAAACGCTCGTGCTTCGCAGAACACTAGGAACCCAGAGGTTGGATAGGTAAACATTTCCCTTCCCAATCCCCTGATCGCGAAACGGAATAAAAATGATGAATAATGAAGTTAGACATTAATCGTGCGTCGGGAACTACTCGTCGTTCCAAAATTCGGGCTCCCCGTATGGATTCCACTCCTGACCCGGGTAGCTTGTTGCCGTCATCTTGGGCGGCTCACCCTCCGGCTCGTAGAAGATCTTCTCTTCTTGCTCATTGAGTCTGAGGGTTCTCATGCGGGCATCTGCCGTGTCGGCCAGCTCCACAGTGAATCCTCGGCTGGCTTCGCCTGACGCTGGAGACGATGACTTCGGCTGCGTTGCTGGAGGTGCCGCCTTTGTCTGTGTCACAGGGGATGCTGCCTTAGCTTGGCTGACAGAAGATGCCGCCGCCTTGGCTTGGACGATAGGAGAGGCTGCCTTGGCCTGGGCGACAGGAGATGCCGCCTTAGCCTGGGCAACAGGGGAGGCTGCTTTGACCTGTGCCACAGGAGATGCTGGCTTTGCCTGGATCGCAGAGACAGCCTTGACCTGAGCCGCAGGTGAGATCGGCTTCGGCTGGGCTAAAGGTGGTGCAGTCTTTGCCTGGGGTACAGGAGATGCAGCCTTTGGCTGGGGCATAGAAGGTCCTGCCTTGGCCAGGGGGGCAGGGCTTGCTGCCTTTGGTTTGCGCTCCGCAGGTGACTTCGCAGGCACCTTGGGCTTGCTGGGGGTCTCCGGACCACTGGTAGCCGGCTTACCATTGCCCTGCTTGATCTTGGGGGTAGCGTCGTAGAGGTCATCGTTACTATCCCGAGCAGTAACTCGCTTGGTGTCCTGCGATGACTCCGCAGCCAACTTTGATCCGGCTCTGGATCTCGTGCTGGGGTTCGGCACATCAATGCTTCGAGCCCGCGACGATCCACTTATGCTTCCAGGACCGCCCTTGAGAGTGTCGTTGCTGATTGAGTTAGTCGGTGATACCACCTTGATTACCTCCACCCTCTGCGCGACACGCTCTTGACCATGGCCTTCCGATGAGGCAGAGCTGTTTTCCCTGGACACCTCAGATGAAGTCAAGTTGTGGTTGCTGACTTTGAGGTGCAGCGGGTTGGGCTTGTGAAGTTCACGATCAACCGATCTGTCCTTGGGGCTGTAGATACCCATCACTCCCGACTCGTTGCTTCGTGCTCCTTCCGATGCAATGCTGTTTCCACGTAGAATATTTGGCCTGTTTCCATTAGCCGAGGATCCATTAGTCTGTGTAGGGCCGGTCGGCTGAGACAGCTGTGAACCGTTCTGCGTCGAACCTGCGCCCTGGATGGGTAACACGAACTCATCTTGGGAAGCAGGTGTGGGTAGAACACCAGCAACATTGATTTCGTGTGAGCGGTCGGGGTGC